GCTGAAATCAAGAGTCAGATGCTTAATGGACTGAGCCACCCAGGGGCCACTCTACATCATTTATAATATGTACCAGATAATAAGCCCTGAGTTTACTGTTTGGAATATTTGCTTAATTGCTTTCTATGTTCAAGCCTTATTTATCCTAACCTTGTACTTGTAGTCAGGAACTACACATATATGTATTTATATTTATATACATACATATATAAACACATATATGCATGTATACACACACACACACACACACACAACTTTATATACTTTACCTAACTCCCCCTCTGCCCAGTGCATCCTCTCCACCCCCTCCCCAACATTTCCATGCCTCTAGCCTTTCTCACATTCTTTATCAAATCATCAAGGCTACCAGTCTAAACCAATGGCAGTTTCTCCCCATCAGGCTTCATTTTCTTCCCTAACGAACCTAAAGCTCATAGTCCATCAATTCATTTATCTTCCAGACTTGACTTCAATTTTCTTGCCACCTTATTCTTCCATTCTACTTTCTCTGTAAAACTCCATGAGGATCAGCACAAACATTTGATTCTTCCATTCCACCCCATATAGAATTCTCACTTTATTCTCACTATGGCTCAGCAATTCTCCTCCTATTACCCAAAGGGGTTAATCAAAATTTTACTTCTTTCTTTAACAGAACACCCAGACACACGTATTAATAGGAAAATTAAGAGCATTAAATAAGAATTTCCTCCCAAATACTCCCTTCTATCTACCTCTACTCATCCTCCCTCTTTCTGATTTGATGAGTTAAAAGGATGCCTTCTTACCTGTGCTCAGTGACTCATCTGTTTTTACCTCTAGAGAACTACCACCCCCATTGTCACTTTATCCTCAAGTTTCCTGGCCTCTCCTTTCGACTGAAACTTGCTCAAATGCCCCATCTCTGAAAACCTTCAAAACACCACATCCATTCTCTTTCACACCAAGGATATTTGAGAGAACACCCCTATACTTCTTTCTTTCCTTTTTACCACTCACTAACTCTTGAATGTGGCTTTTGCCTCATCCATCCACTGACTGCTTTGACAAGTTTACCAATGGATGTCCATATTGTCAAAATCAAGGAAAATCTATTTTACACTTTCTTACTCAATATCTTGAAGTAGCTAACATTGTTGATTATTCATTCTTTGTGAAAATTCTTTCCTTCCTCACAAGCATGGTACCTGAATCTTCTGCCTTCCTTCCTTGGATTCTGTTTCTCTTTATTGCCTTCCTGGATTCCACTAAATCTACCTCCCTTAGCTTCTGATGCTTCCCGGGGCTTTGACCCAGGTCCTCTGCCCTTATTGTTCTAAAAAATAAGCCAACAGGTGAGATGTGTTCCATTACTCCTCACTCATACCTATATCATAATAGTCTGAATCACAGAAATAATCAGAGTCATTAAAGACATGGAAGATTCTGGTAGTTGCCAATCTTAAGATTTTTTAAACATTCTGTGATACACAAGACCCACCAGTTTTAATCACAAAAGTTCCAATTCTCCAAACATAATGTTTTCAGCATCTCTAAATTATATAATAGAGAGGGGACCATGTATTCTACCCTTTAACTAGTTCCAATAAAGAACACACCAGGCCTTCCAACTTTATTTTGAGGTAAAAAAAAATGCAAATTGTGAGAGAAAACTTCTTTCATTTTATAGGTTTTTAGCTTAAAAAGAGAAGGAAACTAAGCAAATTTTAAAATGCCATAATTGTGAAGTTTTATCCCCATTAGAACTCACCTCTTTGACATTAAGTATTCACATTATTAACCTCCCCAACAGATTTGATAATTTCCCAACGTGTATCTCTAAATCAACCTCCATCTCTAGAATCCTCTCACACCATTCTCCCCTTCTCCATATAAATTCTTTACCCATTAAACCAAATTACTTATCATTATCTGAATGTATCACGCTGTTCCATAACTCCAAGACTTGTGTATGCTTTTTCTTTTATAATACTTTTCATCTTACTCTTCTTTCTGCAGTACATGAGTCACTTTCTCCCAGAAATAGTTAAATAGCCTCTCTCATGTACCCTTAACACTCAATTTACTTTTCTGCTTCCCCTATTCCCCCCTAAGTCGCTTAAGTCAGGAACTATGTATGAGTTACCATTATACTTCAGTACAATGCATTGCTAGCAGCAGGGGTTCATATGCTTGCCAAATAAATACATAAATGTATCTGTGACGTCAGTGTGGTTCATAGAAGCCAGCAAGAGGGCTTTGTATGACACCTGTCCTTAAAACTCCCCTCTTGTGGTGTTTAAGAACCTTCATAATCCACTTCCAGCCTCTGCACAAGACCCATCTCTACATTCTGCTTTTTGATGCTTTTAGTTCTAGCCATTCCAACTACTTGTAGTTCCCTGAGCAAGTAAGGTTTTCTATCCCATTCTGATCTTTCTGGCATTTCTTCGTCTCTTCTCACTCTCTCTACTTTACCTGCGTATTTAATACTTGTCCTTGAGTCTCAGCTTAGATGGCACTTCTGGCAAGCCTTCACTTGCACCAAGACTAATTTGTAACCCTCCTCTCTCTCCCTCAGACCCCTATGCTCATTCTTTACTTTGTACCTTTTGCCTATTTCTTCACTGGTTGCAGTGAGGGACCATACCTTATTCCTGTTGATCTTCACCAGAGTACCTGGCACGTAAGTGACCAACAAATGACTAAAGCCTGCACTAATAACCACATCCTCAGATGTGATTCTGGATGTAGTGAACCTAATGACTGCCACAGGTGTTCAGCTAGAAAACTCTTCTCAAGCACTATACCTGGTACACATAGAGAACTCCAGTAATGTTTGTCAGATGGTACAGAAGAGGTATAAAGAAGCACCCAATGGAAGAAAAGGTCTAGGAATTTGGGGACCACAAACCCTTTGACTTGAATGCAACTTCACCTCAAAGTCTCTCAACTACATGGGGTGCCTGGATGGCTCAGTCAGTTAAGCGACTGACTTCGGCTCAGGTTTGTGAGTTTGAGCCGCATGTCGGGCTCTGTGCTGACAGCTCAGAGCCCGGAGCCTGCTTCAGATTCTATGTCTCCCTCTCTCTCTCCCCCTCCCCTACTCACGCTCTGTTTCTCTCTCTCTCTCTCTCTCTCTCAAAAATGAATAAATGTTAAAAATTTAAAAAAAAAAGTCTCAACTACAGATCTTAGCCAGTGCCATGCAAACATGTGTTAAAATACATACGATATGGGGGCGCCTGGGTGGCTCAGTCAGTTAAGTGTCCGACTTCGGCTCAGGTCATGATCTCACGGTCTGTGAGTTCGATCCCCACGTCGGGCTCTGTGCTGACCGCTCAGAGCCTGGAGCCTGTTTCAGATTCTGTGTCTCCCTCTCTCTCTGATCCTCCCCTGTTCATGCTCTGTCTCTCTCTGTCTCAAAATAAATAAATGTTAAAAAATATTAAAAAAATACATACGATTTGGATTGCTGCTGTTTTGATTGCAGATTCGACATTGGGGGTTCCTCACAGGCTGTCCAGGGACATGCTCTACCAATTTGCAATACATTTCAGGTCCTTTTTCTCCACATGTTGCATTTGTGGTGATGAGAGCATTGGAAGCAAGATTCAGGACAGCAGGGAATAAACCTGAAAAAGAAGGACAAATGAAGATGTGTGGGCCAGAAGCAACATGGTATGATTTCGCTGCATTTTAAGATGAAATTAAGATATTTTTCAGAGCATTAAATTAATTGAAAATTAAATAATCAGTGATAATTGAATATCTGGTTTAATTAACTACTATACATAAATAGCATGTGTTCTCAAATGAACATTTCTTCTTCAGTCTTAAATATAAAATCTAAAGCTATCTTCTTAATGTTTAACCTGTAACATTTAATTAGGAAAAAAGCCCTGTCTCTAACACACTTAAAAAACAAAGACCTTCAGGGGTGCCTGGGTGGTTCAGTCACTTAAGTGACCAACTCTTCATTTAGGCTCAGGTTGTGAACTCACAGTGCATGGGTTCAAGCCCCACATCTGGCTCTGTGCTGACAGCACAAAACTTGCTTGGGATTTTGTCTCCCTCTCTCTGCCCCTCTCCCACCGCCCCCCTCCAAAAAAGTAATAAAAATAAACTTATAAAATATCTTCTCTTCATGTCATTGGCAAAAGATCTTATTGAATCTTCCATCTTCCACTTCAGCTATTTTGTATTTAGTAGTAAACTATAATCGTATATAAAGATTTTGTGTAACTAAGCGTTTATGATTTCTGTGGCCATTTTTATTCTCCAATTACCATGTAGCATTAAGTGGTTGTTATAATTCCTTTTATTCAGACTGGAGAAAATAGCAAATGATGAAAGATTTTGGAAAACGATTCTTTACTGCCTTCTGTGCTACAAAGCCATATTATATAGCAATGAGTTATCAGAAACAAGTAGTTATAGTGGTCCACGATCATATACCAGCAATTATTTCTTAGATACAATAGAAGTTTAAGCTCACTCAGGTAAAATCACAGAGACCCATGACAGTGTATAGTTGGGAAGGCCTTTCATTCCATATGAACTCAGGTTTTTCTTTCTAAAACTTCATGTCAATTTTGCCTCATACATGTCTAGTATTTGCATTTTATGGACCTCATTTCCTGACAATATGGTAAAGCCATTTGTCAGAAGCCACTCTTTAACTGAAAAACTTGTCTTGGAGAAAATACATCTGCGATTCCAGACGATTTGACTCGATTTATATACGGAACGTGCTAACCATCTAGGTGGTCTCTGCTCTATACACACGCCAGGTAGGTCTACATTAATTCGACCTCTGCTAGAAAGATCTTTATTAACTAAATCTTATGTCCCAACGTTTTACTGAGATCCCCAGAGTTTTGAGTTCATAGGTGTTTTCTTCCTTATCTTGCAAACTTAGCACGTGCTAGGTACAGAGTAAGCACTCAATATATTTATAAAATGAAGGAACCCCAAAGATTGGCCTCATAAATGTTCTTTGCATCATCTTCATCTTCACCCTCATCCTCATCACCAGCCTTACTGAATGTTTATAATGTTCCAGGCATTGTTCTGGCTTCATGGGCTAATTTGCTTCAAATGGCACCCACATGAGCAGCATGCTACTGTTGCCCTTATTTTATTATGACGTGCAGTAACTTGCCTAGGATTACAGATAGCAAATAGCAGAGCCATGATTTGAGACCACGGAATCTGGCTCCAGAATCTATCCTTTTAATCACTCTAGTGCTTGTTCTCTACAATGTCAAATGACACCCTACCTGAATCTAGTGCTAATATGTGGTCCTGGTTGACCTTAGAATTGCACTGAAGGAAGTAACAGTACAGTGAATGAGAAAGATTTTTAAATGATTTTAATTTCTTTGGTAATCATTCTCAACAATTTCGAAGAGGTAAGCGAATTCCTAAGACCAGCACCACAATTATCATCTCAGTCACTCTCAGGGTCTCCCAAAAAGTTGCCTTCAGACTATTTCTCTCTCTCTTCCCTCCCTCTCCATAATTCACCAGCCTCTAAAATCCCTCAGTTCTGATGCTCTAATCTAGCCAGGCCCGAGCCTGCTGGCCCTCCTGCCTTGTGCTTCTCTCCAGTGAATAGTTACTTGAGGTTTCCAATTTTTCCTTGTTTGCCAGAAGGTCAAAACTTACTTTTTTACTCAATTGCAGCCACTATCTCATTCATTCTTCCTGATAAGTTTATTTCCCCAAACCCCTCATTTCCCTCATCTATTTGCTCTGACCCTCACTCAATGAGACATTCTATCGTTAAGACGTGCACAGATGATCGTTGATCAGAAAAATATTAGCCATTCATAAAGCTATTGTTACTTATTTCATGAGGAAATATAGAGTGTTTTCTAAATGGTAAATTACTGTAAGTACAACGGTTATTAACTTTTTTTTAGTCTTCTTTGTATACAGGCTTATTGGAAACTACCTCAGTTTTGTGAAGTTAACCACATTATAAATTTTGAAAATAATTTGATCATCCCCAAAACATTATCTCTCCACCTTAGACACTTTATTCTCTATATTTGTAAATGATATATGATTAAATAAATATGATATGTCTGCCCATCTTTCTCTTCTGCCATTCATCCCCATTTTGCATTTAACTGTAATGCATTGAGCACATACTATGCCAGGTACCATAAAAGATTTGAGAATAAAATACCATTGAGATAGGCTTATTGTGGAAGTGATCTTGAGCTAAATCTCAAAGGAGAAATAGAAGTTTATCTGGTAGAGAAAAGGAAAAAACAAACTCACCAGGCAGAGGGAATAGCATATGAGTATGGACTTTTTCTGGAAAACTTAAGCGAATGTTGAGCGACTGAGTAGTTGACTTTAGAATTATTCTAACCCATTAGATTATGTGATTATACAGACATGGATACAGATACAGATATATAGATATAGATATGGATACAGATCTAGATACATAGATTACACACAGAGGATACTTAATGGTTCACATAGACATCAACACAAACTGCTGCTTACTTGTCACTGTTAGTAATTTGTTTTAGTGGGATTTTTTTCCCCCAGGTCTTTATAATTTTAGTGTGTAGCATAGAACAAAGTTGGTAATTAGAAGGAAGAGATACGCTGTTTTCAGGAGGGCAAAACTCTACTTCTTATCTTGCTGGCCTGTAGTAGGAGTTTAGGTAGTTAAGCCTGTTCTTATCCTTCCAAACAAAGCCAGCTCACTTACACAAAAGGCATCTCAGGCAGTGGCCAACATCTCTAAAACTGCCCCAGGACACTGTTGGTTTTTCTCTGTGATCTTTGTCTCCTCCTTCAACTCTGACTAGTTCTGATTTTGACCCTGGCCTTGAGAAGGTTTTGTAGGTATGGGTAAGACTCCCTATGCCTGGCTTTGGAGCAGCCCTGTGTGGAACCTGATTTGAGTAGGCTCAACCTCCATTTTCTCAGGTCTGAGTAATCATGGGAGGGGTCCATAAAGGAAAGACGGCTGGCGAAAACTACTTTACTGTATATTGTGTGGTCCAAAACATAGAATTGAATTACACCCCAATTTCCCTACAGAATTAAGTGGATAAAATGTGAACGACATGACATGGCTATAAAAGAATTATAGGTAGAAAAGTAACACTGATTCAGAAGCTATTTCATATTCATTAAGTAATAGGACTTAATCCCCCCATCACCCCATTGTATAGAATTTATCAGTCTCATTTTACAAATGAAGAAAGTGCAGCTCAGAGAACAAAAGCAATATGTACAAAATTATGAATTAGTAAGATTGATAACTATGATTTGAACTCAGCTCTTTAACCAAGAAAACGTATTCTAATTTTTTTTAATGTTTATTTTTTGAGAGAGAGAGACAGAGTGTGAGCAGGGGAGGGGCAGAGAGAGAGAGGGTAGACACAGAATCTGAAGCAGGCTCCAGGCTCTGAGCTGTCAGCACAGAGCCCTAGGCGGGGCTTGAACTCATGAACCATGAGATCATAACCTGAGCCGAAGCTGGATGCCTATCAGGGCATAAAAAAGAGCCAAAACTTGGTCCTCAGCAATGCTTATCCATTTACATCCACTGTAATGGATATGACTTATCCAGTTGCCAGTCTTTTGTTGTTTCATAGAGTTTTCTATCCATAAACAAAGAAATTAATAAAATTTACATTTATTATCTTTCAGTTCTTTCCATTGATTTGTTTCTGTTACACTTACTGATCAGGTGCTCAAAATTAACCTTTTCAATTTAATCGCCTTGCTTTGTGGTTAGGAAACAGTTGCCTTTTAAAATTTTATCAGCTATTTTACTGTTTATTTCTTACAAAAATCAGTAAACTATATTGGTCAGGGAAGGTCTCCAATTAGTTGCTAACAACCAGTTTGAAGAGTCAGTCAATATCTGAGCTTTTATTGAATCTTCAGCAGGTTGTATTAGAGATGGCAGCCCACTTCCATTATATGTTAAATCTATTAAACTGTACCTATTTATTCCCATTCAAAAGCAGCAGGGTAATATTTATTTCCACTTTCAATACGGGTTGCTTGGTTAAGATTATGTAAACATTGTGAATATAAATAAACTACAAATAGCTGGTGAACCCTTATAGAGTATTGACTTACAGCCTTTTAATTCAATTTGAGGTCATGTAATGTTAATGACATAAAAGCCAGTCATCATCACCCATACAATTATGATTGACTTTTTTTTTTTCTGAATAGTATGCAGACTAAATAAATTTAGCTGGATTTGTGGGATAACAAAATCTGAACAAAAAAACAGATAAAATTTTTTCTACCTATATATTTTCTTTGGAGATTAGAATATGATTACTATAAAGAAAACAACAATATATTCTGTTACATAACGTATACATTTTTTAAAATTTATTTTTAAATTTACATCCAAGTTAGTTAGCATACAGTGCCACAATGATTTCAGAAATAGATTCCTTAGTGCCCCTTACCCATTTAGCCCATCCCCCCCCACAACCCCTCCAGTAACTCTCAGTTTGTTCTCCATATTTATGAGTCTCTTCTGTTTTGTCCCCCTCCCTGTTTTTATATTATTTTTGTTTCCCTTCCCTTATGTTCATCTGTTTTGTCTCTTAAAGTCCTCATAGGAGTGAAGTCATATGATTTTTTTCTTTCTCTGACTAATTTTGCTTAGCATAACACCCTCTAGTTCCATCCACATAGTTGCCAATGGCAAGATTTCATTCTTTTTGACTGCCGAGTAATATTCCGTTGTATATACTATACCACATCTTCTTTATCCATTCATCCATCGATGGACATTTGGGCTCTTTCCATACTTTGGCTATTGTTGATTGTGCTGCTATAAACATGGGGGTGCATGTGACCCTTCAAAACAGCATATATCCCTTGGATAAATACCTAGTGGTGCAATTGCTGGGTCATAGGGTAGTTCTATTTTTAG